TGTGTGTGTGTGTGTGTGTATTTGGGTGTCTGTGTGTGTATGTGTAAGTGTCTATGTGCGCGCACGCGCGGACGTAATATGTGTTTGTGTTACTGTGAGAATTGTAAAGAAAATGGGTGAAAGAAAAATACAGGGACGTAATAAAGTGTTTTGTTTTTACCGTTCAGATCAAATGATTACTTCCCTTGCCCATATTTGCCCTTTGGAAAAAAACACACAAAAAACAACAACAACCTAACGCTCGTTTTTCTTTTCTTTAAAACAAAAGAAAAAGAAAACATGCACAATGTTTTTCAGCTCATACGCATTGGCACCATTCATACAAAGGAATTATGAAACCAATATTTTCATCAACGTTGGTGGTTGAGTCAGCGATAGATCTATGCCATTTGAGGGTTGGGTTATTGTGGATACACATCAGTGACTTACCATGTGGATATCATTCCGCTAATAGGACCCGTTTGATCTTGATAGGAGCGAGTAGGCTATTAGTTAGGTAGGAGGTTAGTAGGTACTTTATATGTGTGTATGTGTGTGTGTGTGTGTGTGTGTGTGTGTGTGTGTGTGTGTTTGTGTGTTTGTTCATTTGTTTGTGTGCGCGAGTGCATGTGTATGTGCATGAGTATGGGGTTATTTTTTTATGTCTCTATAATAGTTAAACGATTGTTGTTGTTTTTTCAATCCTTGTACACATACGGCAGAATTATGACATCTTTGCCAATTTTGCGTTGAGGAATTTTTTATATTTTTTAAACTAGAATTTTACTTGTCTTAACTAAATAAGGGCCCCATAGAAGATGAGTGCTCACCCCTTTAAAAGAGAAAAATGTCAGTACAGCTGTGAAATTGACGTAATATCCCCATGCACCTTAATGCACCAGACTTAATACTGTGTTGTGTGTTTAAAATATAGTCGAACCTGCTCTAACGGCCACCTGTATAAGACAATCATCTGTACAAACGACCACTTACTATTTTTTCCCTTACGTATTCTTCATATCACAATAACGCTGTGTAAGACGATCACTTGTCTAAGACAGTCACTTTCTCCACGAAAATGGGTGGCCATCTTACATTGTTTGGACTGTACTTTATTATTGTGGTTTAAAGGTAACCTTAACTCCATTCTGTCTGTCTGTCTGTCTGTCTGTCTGTCTGTCTGTC